TTTGTTCGTGTTTAATATTTGTTATACAACAAGAATGATGCTTACAGCGTGTGAGCGTAAAAAAGGAACCTTAAGGCTCAATAATGAATAGTTTTGGTGTATCAAGATAGTCTGTGATCACAAGTTTTATATGCCTGGAAAAAGAAGTTAAAGAGTTTAAATGGAAGAAATCGTTTCTTTCGTTGATTTTTTTAAGTTGAAAATATCTTTGAGGAAAATAAAAATTTATTTGATTTCAAGAAACGGCGATCAGATAAAAAAATTATTTAATTTCAAGAAATGACGATGAATTCAATTCAAAGAAATTTTTTAATTGTATAGCAATGCACAACTTTCTTTGATTCAAATAAATTTATTTTGAATTGAAGAAACTTTTTCTTGAGTGTATCTTTGATATAGCTTGAAACTGTCCATTATGGAGTCTTGTTTCTATGATGTCTTATTCACTGTAAAATAAGTTACATCATATTAAAGTCACTAGATTATTAAAGTACCGCAATTGATTTCAGAAATGTCGTAAAAATGACCGAAGTGCACATAGTACACGATTTGAAGTACATCAGGGTCCACATTGCTCTTGCGGTGATCATACATGTGATGTATACTTTTGTGTTCCTGAACAGTTCTGAACTGTATTTACATATATCCTTCGTGCTTTTATGTACAAAACTTCTAGTACAAATAAATCCATATTAAACTAAACAACACATAAATTGAGCATTCATACATATTCTTTCGTTCATAAATAAATTACAACTAAACAACATTGATTTACATATGATATACTTGACGGCTTCACTTTTCCAAATAAAGCACGTAATACAAATGCATAAATTCGAAATGGCCGCGTTTCGCGTGAAAATAGGTGCGAGTTTGCGGTACTTTAGAAATCTAGTGACTTTACATCATACGTGTGTGAAAATTAACTCATTTCACCGATATTTTCCATTTTTTTAGATTTTCTAATTTTCCATTTAATTAATGTAGAATTTTTTGAGAATTATCAAATTTTCAACTTGGTGATTTTTGACTTGTGCAACTTTTACGACATCACGTGATCTATCTTATGTCTTGTTTTGAGAACGTTGACGAGGAACGTCGTCATATTTCGAGTCGGTTACGAGTGCCGACATGGCACCATGAAGGTACATGTGGTAGATAATGGAAACGTCACTCTGAATACCACGGTGTTATCTCTCGCGCAAATGCTATCTCTCTGCTAATTCCGTGTGGCGGATAATGGCATTTTGGCAGTGATAGTGGCGACGCGACGGTGGCCAAATGAAACGGTTAAAATGATTAATATGAAAAAACACGAACGAACGTCGCGCTGCTGGTCATGGTGATTAAGACAAGATTGCGTGCATCGTATTCGTCCTCTCCACATGTGACGCCGTAAAACGCAATTCATGCGACCGTTTTAATGGGATACCTATCTAGCTTAATGTGACACTATCAAAGTGACGCCAAGATAGTCACGCGAATGTTGAAATTAATTCCCGCGGCAATTAGTGTGAGCAATACTCAAACCTACCATTATCGTAATTGAAGGGGCAAGTGTCCGAAGGTGATACGATGCGCATATGGTGATATGACGTATATATTTCAATGCATTTGGTACCATGATACTATGATTCCATGTGAGATAGACTGATTATCATCGTCATTCTCTGGCGACGCCACAATCTAGTTTACAACTTAATGCGTCTTATGAGATCAATTCTAACGTTCGAGACAGAAAAACGGAAAATTGTGGACTATTGCACTTGCGTTTAGTATTAAAAATAGAGAAAATATATAGATACGATAATAGATTACTTTCGAAAACTTGCCACTAAAGATAATTCATCATGCTTTGTTCAAGAATGAAAAAAAAAAAAAGAACGTTTTAGGAGGAAAAATCAGCTTAATTTGCGCTTGTTCCGAATAGAGATTCGTAAAACCAAGTGGTCAGTATAACTGCGCAATGGTCAGTAACTATGATTTATTACCCTGCGTTCTGTTTAAAACCACCTTTATTTATGGAACACGGAAAATACATATCCGTACAAAAATGCATTTTATATAGGGAAGAGACTGTTGTTACAGATTTCAATGTGATTATTCTTTTTTGCCGAATACCTACTTTATTTGTCAATTGCTTACTTAATTTCTTTAAAAATATTGCTGTGAAAATAGATGTAACGTTTAAGAATTCAGCAGAGCGCGAATGTATTGTATGTGTGTGTGTGTGTGTATATATATATATATATATATAGTGTACATGTCGGACTATGTCATTTTTAAACAAGATTATACATTTTTGTACACTTCTATTTTGCTAACGACATCTGCGGTTAAAATGGGCTGCACGCGGGCAGTATCTCTCTCAATTTTTGCCTCTTCTAAGTAGCGCAGCTTCTGGTAGATTTCTGTAAAATTACATCGTAACAACTTGACTGGGCAAGAACAAGCTCCACTCTCCTCTTTTAAAAACAGCTTTAATTTTTTGCCGTACAGAATGGTACTTTACAAAATGGACACTCCGCGCTAACTTTCCCGCGGGATGTTGAAATTTTTCCGAGGGCGAGACGGTGGTAACCACGAGGACTTGTTGCTCATTTTTCTGCTCTCGTTGGACGGTGTAGACGCCAAGTCGATATCACCAATTAACCCAAGACTGTTTACCGTTCATGTCATGGGACGGTCTGTATCGAACCGACGCGGTAGTTCTATGTAACCGACATGGCAGTATGTAACAGACATGTACATACCTATGGTCAACCCGCCAGGTAATGGCAAATGTCACTTGGTCTGCCGCCCGATCGCCGCACAGATTCTCCAACGGAAACGTTATCGTTTGCCGAAGGAAATAATATATAGTTTGTGTTGATCGGCTGGTCTAATAATATGCAAAGACCATTTCCAACTATATATAAAACGTTTTGTAATTATAAGTGAAAATTATATGAATATTAAACATCAAGATCTGCTTCGATTGAAAATATAATTCTTTATTCTCTTATTTGATTAAAACTTTATCGTGAAAAAGACTTTGAGTGAGAGTTCTCTTTTCTCTCTATTTGACTCAAAAACATCTTGTGTAGTATAGTCTTGTTCGATGTTTTGAGAACTCAAGCGGCAACTTTCTGTCTGTACTTATTTCTTACTAAATATTCATTACTTTATTGTTCCGTTATGCCGTTGAATATTCATTACTTTGTTGTAGATCCACATTTTGCAAGAGAGAATAGAGTAGTTTAATAATCAAATACTAGACGAATAGTTTTAATATGAAACTTAAACCGTAATTCTCCAGGACTTGATTTCAAGAAAAGCTCCTGCACTTTATTTAAATACACTTTTGTTACTTTACCGTTTTATCATTTTAAGTAGATACAGCAGTTTAATTGCAGAATGAATATGAAAGTTGACATCGCATAATTACCGCAATGCATATGTGCTTATCATGATAACACTCTTGTATTTACGATCATTTTAACAGCAATTTTAACCCTGAGGTTATTCCGCCGTCGTTTTGACCCAATTTAATTAAAGTTTCCAGCCAAATTTACAATCGTGTCCGTGTCGTTGCATAACTTTATTTAAGCACGGCAATTCCAACGGTGGATAACCGAGTTTTGTCAGTTAGAAACGAGCACCAGCGGTGTTTATGATCCAACGAAAAATTGCGAAAGCCACGTTATAAAAATACGTCACTTATGGCACGAAATTTAACGCGATGACACGATGGCGTATCTCTGTAATGTCAGTTGGGATTGTTGGGATTTTATTTTTAACTTGCAATTGCAAATGATACCTGTTATTGGATCGCACAGGCCGAGATATTCCAACGGAATATAATCCGCTTAATGCGGTTATCTATTCATCTATCCGTTGGTTGATTCGCTTATCGTATCACTCCTGAAACCGTTAATACAGATATGCGTATAGTTTGCATGTAACAAATTGAAACATGTTATTGTTATATTTTCTATTCTGTTGAGAGCGATCATCGATTGGATAGTATTGTAATATTAATTTCAGCTTTTCCAAATAATTGCTAAAATTACATTATTTGCCTATCAAATTTAGATGTAAAAACAAATGAATAATATGAAAGTCTTTCATGTAATTTACTTATTACGCTCTTAATCTTGTTATACCGCCAAAAATTGGAGATACACGTTGAAAAAAACCGTAACGTAAATTACGAAGGTCATAAATACCACCAAACATAAGAGGAAAAATGGTCAAATGGTGGAAATCTTGAAATCAGAAGCTATCTATTGTGAGGAGAAAAAATTTACCACCCATCCGATTCAGATCTTACCTATATTATCGTACTGGAACTGATTATATATTCCATGTGACTCTGTTGTCAATTGTTTGTTTAAGAATAGTCGAAACGCTGGTGGTACATTTGTAATGTCGTGGCGTACATGAGGTACGAGAAGTCTTGTATCTCCAAAAGAAAAGTATACCGCGAGTTCAATAAGAGTGATACTTGCGATCGAATCGTTATATTCATCACTACCTCATGAATTTCCTATTAGTCTTCCTATTATCCTTCTATTAATGTATAACTCGAGACGTATGTCATATTCATTTAGAAATTTGTATCTCGAATTTACAAGTACTACACGATCATACAAAGCTAAGAATATAGTACAATAAAAAATAGAAATATATTGCCGATTTTTCATCTATCTACAATAACTTGGATTGAAAATGCAAAGCATTTCAGCAATAGCAATTGAAAATTGGTTTTAGAAAATTAACGCTCGACTCTATAATACTGATAGGCAAATATCTTGAGTGAGAGATCCGCGTGAAAGCCACAAATGCGCAATTAATTAAGCGTTCCAATGCGCGCGTTGAGCATGACGCGAGATTAATTCGTCTAATCGCAAGTCTGGTAGCCGCCGAGTCGAAGTCGAGCATTACTCTTCTCTCGATTCGTCTCTCGATTGGCCCAGGGGGTTCAATCAATAATCACCGTTCTCCTCTTCTGCTTGCAGGTTGCCCAGGAAGCGAGCGGCTCTGCTGGTGATTTGTCTTTTGGCCACTTGCACGGGTAAGTCTAGCCTTCGCCTATGACACCACGTTTTTCTTTTCGCTGAATTTATTCAGTCGCACGTCGTGCATCGCGATATGTAGATCGTATTACGAGAAATGGCGACGCTCCGTTTCGCGTTCTCTTCGAGGCACGTGCATGACGCTTCATAACCGCGTCAGACGACGTTCTTCCTCTCGTCACTGAGGAGAATTTTATTTGATTCCTCTTAGGCCGTTTCAGAAGTCTCGTAGACCGCCAGGAACGCGGGAGTTATAGCATCCTTCCGTCGCTTTACTGCTCGCGCACGTTTGAATTCTAAAAGCGAAATGTGGCTACCGAAAGTAGGATAAGGTTTTGCGGGAAGCTCGGTAGAATATAGCGATATTTTTAGAAACATGTCAAGGAAGAAAGAGTTATTTTTATGAATAAATATTTTTTATGATAATTTTATGTACGTACACTGTTGGATATCGAAGGAGCAATGGCAACTCAATCCTTTGAGTTAAATAACATTTTGTCATTTTAAATTTCCACATATATATCAAAATGTAAATCAATCTATTTCTATCGTGGCCAGTTTCAAAGTAAGCAACGTTCACATTAATGTATGCATTTTTTAAAGAAAATAATAGACTAAATTTGAATCTCTCTCTCTCAAATTTAATACATTTTTTTAGTTGAATTGTTTAACTCCATGGTTTTAATTGAATTAATGATATATCGAATAGGAGTAGTGGTGACTTATATAAACAATAAAAATAACTCAAATTGGGTATAATTTGACATCATAAATTTTAGTGTCATCTTATATAGCAACATTCGTCGCTTTCAATTATTTTCAATCGGAATAGAATGTACTAGAATAACAAAAAGGATTAAAAAATATCATCTACAGCTTTTGTCATATTTATATATGTATGTTTGTGCGAGACAAATTATGTACTACGCGTGAAATACATTATATATTAAATCACATAGCTAGAGTTGCACTCGAGCCAAGGGATGACTGTTTAAATATCTCGTTGTCGTGAACGAGACCGAAGTACCGGGTACCTTAGTGATACGAGATGGTATGAGAGGATGGTTAGGTGGCGCACGGGGGTGTGCAAGAATGGAGGAAAGGCGTTTCCTCCTTCCGGCGGGGAACAGGAAGCTTCTAGCGAGCTGCCTCTTCGCTTTACCTTCGTCCCCCCCTCCCTTTCTCTCTCTCTCTCTCTTTCTCTCCCTCTCTTCCTCTCTCTCGTTCTCTCTTTTTCTCTCGTTTCCATCTACCTTCGCCTTTTTCCCCTGTCGTACCACCCCTACAACTCAACTCCCCTCATCTCCGTATCTCAACGAAGTCGAGAAATGGTTTCTCTTGGAGAAAGCGGGTGTTTGTGTATATATATATATATATATATATATATATTACACATACACACATATACACACACATGTATGTGTTATATACATATATATATACACATACATAACGACTAACGCTGATTGCGAGTAATGTAGTAAAACGCCACGTGCTTATTTCGCCAGCTTCGCAAGAATTTGACGTTCCTATATTTTGCAATCGTTTTCAGTTTATTTGCTCGAATTTTACATATTAAGTTTCATTTTATTACGTGTTGCACGCTTCTCTCTCATTTTCACCAATTTCTTTTTTTTTTTTTTTTAATTAAACCTCTGTTAGTCCATGTAGTAATCATGTCTACTTAATGTAGCCCATCTTGTAGATGTTGGTTTAATCTTCTCTAGAAACGTTTCATCGTATGATACAAATGATCCTGTTTTATTCTTTCTCTTTCATTATCAAGATATAATTCACTCAGTATTTGTTCATTCATTTCTTCATTCATTTACTTTCTGTGTCTTCGTCTCTATTTTCCTCTTATAACTTTTCCTCTCTCTTTCTTTACATTCTCCCCCCCGCCACTTTCTCTACCCCTTTTCTCGCTTTTACATTCCTTCTCCCTGCATTTTTATGCTACTACTGCTTTCCTCTTTCCCTCTTCACTTAAACCTGCTCGTCGTAAATCTGTTGCCACCTACTTTCTTCTCGTCCCTCGTGTTTTACTCTCGGTTACAGCAGCCAGATATTTATTATTCGCGTTTGCATTTATAAAATATTGTTCTTCCTTTCTTATTAACCGCGTAGCCGTTTGCGCTTGATGTCGGCTTGCACGAGTCGGCAAGTTCATCAGCAAGGAGACTTTCGCGCGAGTAGTTGGCTCGATAATTTATGTTAACCGTGTTTGCGGCGAGGAAACGGTCGAGCGAGTCGCGAAGTAAGATACGTCGTTCCCTAAGAATTATATTCCCAGCGACATATACGGGATCTTGTTGTGTGCAGTAACACTTTCCTTCGTGTTCAAACGCTTTCTTTTGCATCAAAATATTTAATCGATAATGCGTTGTTAGCTATTTTAATTTTAAAATTTTCAAGCGTGTTGATTAATTCAAAAAATCCCGAGAGAACTATGTCATAAATACCGCCGGTATTATCGGGAAACAATAATATTCTAATTATTTTCAAAACAGTGTAGTAGTCTCTCCTGTGTTTAAAATATTCGGATGATTTATTAAAATAATTCAATCGAAATAATTTAAAACTATTATAATTATTTTAATCAAAAATATAAACAGTATTATAATAGATTTTTATTACTTTTGTATTATTTATATCAATATATCTGAAACGTAATTTATATTTTATTTTTTATTATACCTCTTTAATTAGCATTTTATTTTTCAAACAAAAAGATTACTTTAAAATTGAATAAAAATTACCGTATTTTTGATAGCTAAATTTTCTACATATGATACTGTATATTTTTTAAAGATAATATTAATATCGTAAAATTAAAAAAAAATTTCTTTACACAGATCGTATTTTTCTCTTTCAATGAACATATTGACAGAATTTTTTATTTATTATTAAAAATTATAGCGCTATTTTTCATTGGTTTTGATAGATATCGGAAAATTTATTATCTCCTCCCCCCCTCTCTCTCGAAGATAAAGCTCTTCAGAACCCGGCTGAAAATTCCTTCGCATGACCCTCTTCTCAGGGTGTTCCGCAGCTTCCGCATCGCCGCTCAAGAAGATCATTGACTGCTGGGGCGAGAGTCGCGCGAGCAGTAGGGTACTTCGGAATTCGACCGGTCGGTCGGTCGGTCGGTCGGTCCTGTCGAAGGGTTGGTTGCACGATTGATCACTCGGTGGGTAACGTTTGAGCAGTTACAAATACACGTGATCAATCGTGTCCTAATGGCGCGCCCGAGTGCATCGCGTGCAACGGCAACGGCTGCAACGGCAGACAGCGCGGCGGTGGCGTAACTGCTGCACGGCAAACCTCATGCGCTGAAAGTATTTGCCCGAGTGCATTAATCATTCAGCGTGTCTGTTCGATGCACTCCACGGACGAGACTACTCGGCGCGTTCGATCGAGTTCGATCATTTTCGGACGTGTTATCTTTTTTTTTTTTTTTTTTTTTTTTTTTTTTTTTTTTTTTTTTCGGTTCGATCCCTGCCCGACGTTGATTCCGCGAGCTGTCGTTGCCGAACGATCCGATCGTTACATGATAAATGGGAATTAATTCTATGTAACTCCATTTTTCCGATTCATCAAGAAAAAAAGGGTTAATGCAGCAATATATTGTTGACAATGGATATAGGATTTATGTGCGATCTATTTTAAGCCGGTTATGGAATTTACACTGTAATAGATTGCGATAGAATTTCATAGAGAGAGAGAGCACAATTCGGGATTAACTGCATATAGATTTAAAGGGATGAGCGAGAAGTGACAACGCGTGACATCGTTCTATTGTCTTGACTTGCGGTTACAAAATCGAACAAATCCGAGGGCAAAGCTGAAAGGACCTAGATGCGGATCAAAGGGACGTAAAAGCGCATTGAAAAAGTACGTCAGCAATTCCGTCATTCGCTATTGAGAGGGTCGACGACGACGACGACAAGTGCATTCAACCTACCGCGCCTTGTGCATTCAAACATGACAACACGCTCGCTAGTTACGTGGCTTTACTCGTTAGCGCGTTTTCATCGAAGGAACCCCTTTTCATCCCCTTTGGGCCATCACTCTCCGCGTCGTCGCCGTTGTCCCGCCGTTGTCCCGCCGTTTTCCCAATGCGTCGCGACTCGTTCGCGGTCCAACCGTTAAATACGGCTCCGACGAGGCAGAGCAACGAGTTTCCGATAACGTCGGATGCGACGGAGCGTATTACCGGATAGAGTGCGTCCCGCGTTCAATAATACGCGGCATTCGTCTCCGCTCGATCGCACGCTTGATTCTCTACTACAATCGTGTCTCGTTCGTTCTCACTTTTCCCTCCGGCTTTTTACCTATATTCGTTTCCCGACTTTGTCTCCTCGCTTGTGTAATTTATTAGGATAATTTTTTTATACAATTACGATTTTACAATTGTATACGCGATACTGGAATTTATGGCCGTTGGATTTCGTCAAATATTTCTTGCAGTACAATATGGCAAGATTAAGACTATATTTGCTTGTAAGCAAAATTATTATCTAAAATTATAAATTGTTTTATGAATATATTTGTAATATGTTTATAATATGCAACATGATGTGTAATATATTTGTAATACTTATGTAAATATTTCTTATGGAACAATTCATAGCAAAACTATATAAGAGAATTCGTTTTTTTTTTGTAAGTAAAATTATTATTTAAAATTCTAAATTTTACGATTATATTTGTGAAAGTCACACGAAAGAGAATATCGTTATATCTAAAAAATAAACTGCTTATCGATATTAATCGTATCATATTTGTACAAAAATAAGGGCTTTGTCTTTTTATCTTAAAATCTCTCTCTCTCTCTCTCTCTCTCTCTCTCTCTCTAGTCAATTGTGATTCTAAAATTGAAATTCTTTAATATTTAAATTGAATTTGACTTTGAAAAAATACCTTATTCCGGATATCTAATTTTGAATGTTCCAGATATTCAATTTTTAATGAAAAAAATTGAACATTCCGAATATTA